CAATAAAACCTTACACTAACAAAATAAAAAAAACTAAACCAAAATAACGTTACATAAACAAAGCTAAATGTTAGGTGGATTTAATTTTGATATTTCAAAAAAAAACGATGTATGTCACTGTCGTCAGTATTTGTTCTTTTGAACAAAAAATCGGCAAGGGATCCTATAAAATGGGCCTCTTTTCTGCCATATCGGGGCTCCTCTGATATTTCTCCAGGTTCGTTCTATATTTTGTGTATGAATAGTTCCATCATTCGGATCGACATGATTTATGGAATGGTTAATAGCAAAGTGCTGGAACCCTTCATCATTCAACGTATCATAGCTTTTCTAACAATCTGATATTATTGTTGTATCTGGGAGAATTCATTCATGTATGACCCTGAGTAAAGTTGCTGCTCTTCTATCCTGAACAGGTACCAAAAATATTTTCTTGGACTCTCTTTCAAACCCCCCAAAAAACCACTGCCCTTCTATACACGTCCCCTATTATATTTACGTTTCCAAAATTTAGCTTCGTCAATTTCGACAATTTTCCCAGGACCACCTAGTCGTTGGAAATGGTCCAAGCTCCATTGTATGCATACTTCCCTGCAATATGATGACCAATCAACAACTGGTCTTTGGCTACATTTTATTCCCCCATTATAAATTTTTGCCGAGGATATGGAATTCTCAACCAAAGTACAGTAAAATACAGCACATTCTCTATGGTTAATTTGAAAACCATGTATTTTTTTCCATTTTTCTTAGTACTGCATTTTTTAATTTTATTTCCAATTCTGTATTTTTTGGAACACGTGTATAATAAATTGTTAACGTTGATATCTAATCTTCTGGCATATGTATCATATCGGGAATATTTATTTACTAATCCATGCTCCACCAGAAACTGTACCAGACGTCTTCTATCACTTAATAATAGAGTAAAATCTCTCATAGAGTAACAGCAGTTGTTGCACACCATTTTCCCTTAATTTTTTTAAAATTGTTCGTTACTCAGTAAATGACAAACGATATGGATAAATTATGACATACGTTATGCTTACCTTGCTTACCAGGCAGTATTGCCGCTATTTTAACTTTAGTTTAGTTTGATTAATCAAACAGAGAAAAGTAAGAAAAAGAAAAGAGTGAAACCAACGCTAAAGCTATAGCTAGACGGTTACGCGTGTTTTGATTGCTTTGGTTTCACTCTTGTGTTTTGTTTTATTTTGTTTCTTCTTTTTCACTAGAATAAAAAATATTTTATTATATTTTTAATGCTATTTGGTCCTCAAACTTAAGAAATTTTCTATAAAACGCTGTTGAGACAAACATAAAGAGCTTGAGTTGAGGAAAAATGCAATTTTGGTAAAATAAGAGAAAAAAAACAAAAAATCAAACCAAACAAGACCAACCTAATCTAAACCAAACCAACCAAAATCAACCAAAACCAAACCAAACTAAAACCAACCTAAACCAAACAAAACAAAACCAAAACAACCAAACAAAACCAAACCAACCAAACCGCTCAGTGTTTTTCATTGCTAGAGCTATAACTAAGCAATTCTCTATACCGCTGGTGGCGATTTAACCAATTTGTTAAACTAAAGTAATCAAAAAATTAAATAAAAACATTTTAAAACCTATGACGTCATTTTTCCCTTAAAAAAAAGATGCATGAAATTCCGGATAATTTACTAGCTTATTTGGCAACTACGCATCAATTCACCTTGTTTGTCAAAATTCAACCTTTACTACTGTCAGCATATCCTTCAATGGAACCTGCCAATGATTTCTGAATAAAACAGTTCTTCATAGTTTTTTTGAAGAAATTTTACATTAAAAGCTTAATTAAAGGATTGTAAAATGGTTGTGTTATAAGTATCTTTAATCAGAATATTGTTTTTACCCCGCCTAGCACCCCTATTCGCTCCCCGGTCCCGTAAGTTTGTTTGGTTGAAAAAATACTTAAAGAAACACAATTTCTCTGCTCCCCCAACATATTTGCAATCTCTAAGGACAATAGAATGTGAGTATATAACATTTTTCTTATATAGTCGAAAAATAGCCGTATATGCAACAATTACCAAAATAGTTATGTGGCTCACTCACTACACGTGGCTCACTCATTACATGTGGGTCACTCTACAGGTGGCTCACTCTACACGTGGCTCACTCATTGCATGTGGCTCACAACTTAACTATGGCTCACACTAGATTCCTGTGGCTCACAACTATGGCTCACACTAGATTCCTGTGGCTCACATTAAATACCCATGGCTCACAACTTTACTATGGCTCACATTTTTCCTTTTTTTTTTGTTTAAAGAAAGTAACAATATGCTATTACTTTTCTTTTTATACCTTTTCTGGGCAGATCTTTCATTGTCATTATTATCTAGTACTTACTGTGGTTGCTTTTATCCTCGTCGCCAATTGTGCTATCCCATTGTGGTTAGTTAACACAAATGAAACGATAATATTACGCAGTAGTTTCTATTCACTGATTAGTAACAAACACTATAATAATAAAAGCAATATTACAAAGTACGAATAATACAACTGTCTGTCATGACAATCAACTGTCTGTCATTACAACAATCAATTCTAATTCACCGGTTTCCACAGCTTCAAACAAGGTTAAGTTCATTCAAATCATATAAAGGTGCGTATTCATTATCCGAACGAACGAACGAACGAATGAAAGTGCGGTATATTTAGACGGGGACCGAACGCATGCGGCCGTTCGTTCGCTCGACCATACGTTTCGAGTCGGTACATCAAAGGCGTTCGCCAACAAATGCCTCCGGTCTTCTCGTGCGGTCCTATCGTGCGGTCCCCGTCCATACCACTAGCGAACATTCGTTCGTTCGTTCGTGCCGATAATGAATACGCACCTTAATGTTTGCAACAAAAATACACTGCTATTGAAATCCAATTAATCTTATCGTTAAATTATGGGTATTGGAAACCAATGAATTCTTATAATTGAGACAGTGATAGTGTATATTCTGAAAGCAATATCATGATACATGTCGATTCAAACACTGATATAGTCGAGGAATGGGGAAAATAGTGTATCGTTGGCGTAGTGATATTATCTTTGTAGATACGGTAGCGTTTTCTCTGTGTATATTGACAAAAATGTTTGCTTGTTCGGGAGTATTAAAATATATACCCATTCTAGTTCTCCCTTTACTTTCTATTTTTTTTAATTCCTTCAATTTTATTTTCAAATAAATATTTACCAACATTCATTGGATGGAGGGAACGTTTACCTTGGATGGAAGGGAGGAAAAGCAGAGAAATATCATACTTTGTGATTTTATTTGTATACTTCTTAATTAAAAAAAAAAAACATTGACAAATTTGTTGTTGTACTTCAATATCTTCTAAATATTGGCTTCTAATCCCATAAAGTTGACATAAAATTGACTCAATGACATTTAAAGACGTTTCTTGACATGCTTTTTGCAAAGCTTAAATTTTATGAATGAAATGATTAGGAGGACCCCTTCCTCATTTGATATAGGATCAGGAATTGGGAAGGCTTAGCAGTATTTTGGGGTTAGGATTATATAAACAAAAGTGTGTTGAAATGTGGATTATTTGATACGAGATCTTAAATAGTCTGCGGAGAGTCCACATCTCAAACGCTTCGATGCGATTTAGGGACCTTACTTTGATTTACCACGTTTCCGCACCATACAACAGGTTTACTGGTAAGCGTTGTTGTAGGAGGATATTCTGAAGCCTTCGAAACGTTGTTTTGGCCATGCCGATTCGAATTTTAATTTCCTCGTCGCAGTCCCACTTGTTATTGACAACAGAGCCGAGATACTTAAACCTATCCACCTGATTAGTGATCTCGCCGCTTACAGTGAGGTTAACATTTGGGATTTGTCTGCTAATCACCATGGTCTCTGTTTTTGAAGTATTAATATGTAGCCCGTACTGTTGTCCCACACTATTTATCTTGTTTAGCAGTTCTTGAAGCTCTTCCATAGTGGAGGCCATTAAAACAGTATCATCTGCATATCTGATATTATTAATTAGCAATTATTGAAATTTAAATATGTTATTCTTATTTTTTAGTGTTGCTGAGTGTATTAGTTATATTTTTTAAGTTATGTTTTTATAAGCATTTGCATTGTTAATTAAATTTTTTTTTCAAATTAAGTTAAGTTGGTTTATTGTATGTACATTGGAAGTTACCTATGTTTTTTTCCTTCTCATGACTGATTACTTAATAATTTGATATTATTTTTATTTAAAACTCAATTTTTATCGGCTTTTCTTTTGAAAACCATCCCTTGCTTGCTGACTGACGAACTGCATAATCATTGAACAAAAATTTGCTAGTTCTGAAAGTACCGCCAAAACCGGAAAATCCCGGTTCCTTAGAAGCTTGGTACCTAGATTCCAGGTTCCGAGAAACAGCCCCGCTTCCGGAAACCCTAATTAACACTCCCAATTAGGGTTCAGAACCGGGAAACCCCGGTTTTGAAAGTACCGGCAATTCAAAACTGACCTTCGAAATTAATTCCCAGTTCTTTCGGAACTCGGTAACAATAATTAAAAAAACATATTTTTGTTACTTGACAAAGTAGGTACTTTCTAAATTAGTAGTGATGGTATTTCTTATTGTTGTTGCTTCTTTTTTAAATTATTTTCTTTAAAAATTTTATTTTTTATCGATTTTACTTTGGAAAACCATCTGTTGCTTTCTGATTGATGAATTGCACCACCATTGAATAAACATTAGTATCGATAGAAAACGGATCCGAAAGCGGTACCGAAATTTCCGGTTCCGAAAAACAGCTCCAGTTCCGGAAACCCTATATCTCCGAAACGGAACATTTTTACTTATTTTTATGCTGCTGAAGTCCCCCGAATAAATACAATTCGGTTCACCCTGTATATAACATTTTTTGCTTTTTCTATATATTTTGCGGTACTTATTTTTCTATATATTATAGCGTATAACTGTTATTATAATATGTGTTTTATTACAGGGAGCTGTTCCAGCAACGATTGCTCTCCTAAATGGTAAAATAAAGGTGGGAATGACTAAAGCAGAAATAGAATATTTAGGTGATACTCAAACTAGTAAACCTATAAAAACATCAAGAAGGGATTTTCCTTACTTACTAAGTATGAAAAGGAACGGAGGTACAACAGTCTCTGGAACAATTATTGTTAGCAACTTGGTAGGGATATCAGTCTTTGCAACAGGCGGTAAAAATAACTTATTAGAGGTTTAACTTAATTTAAGTATTGTTCTTTATTGGCAGGTATCGGAGGTGTTCACAGAGGTGCTGAGAAGAGTTTTGATATTTCTGCTGATTTAACTGAGTTAGGTCGGTCCAATGTTGCCGTTGTTTCGAGTGGCGTTAAGTCGATTTTAGATATTCCAAAAACGCTGGAATATATGGTAAGTTTTTTTTTATTCCTTCAGTAAATTTAAAAAAGGGACTTTTGGTCCATATTGTTACAAGCGTTTTCTTAAATTATGTATATATCTTCATCGGTTATATCACATCAATTTTCTTTTTTGATACTCCCATTATGCGTTGTAACACTGCTTTTTCATTTTAATATATATACTCGTAAATTCGGTTTCCAACGTTCTACGACGTTTTCCGATTCCTAACCGCCACTTTTCTCTATCTTGCCACATGTTATCATCAAGCTGTCTTTGGTCCATTTTCTTCCTTATTCCTTCTCTCCAGCTTGTTCTTGGTCTTCCTCTTCTTCTACCTTGGGGCATCCATTTCAGCAGTTCTGTAAACCTTTCGTCTGACATCCTTTGTACATACATGCCATATAAATTATTTTTGTTTTTGTAAAGAATATTATTGGTTTACAAGGAATATTACGTTTATTATTATGAAACTCTAAAACAAAAACAAACATTTTTAAGTTTTTTTAAGCTATTCTAGGCCATGTTGGTTGATATTATATTATTATAAAACACTTTATATGGCTCATCTACAAATTCAAGACATTTTATTATTCCATCATTTTTTTTTGTTTAATGGGGACTTTTCGCTGCAGATAAGCACAACTTCTTGGGAACTCTATGGTGGGTTTTCCTCTTCGATTTAAATTAAATGTGTGACATATTAAATCGTCAATAAACTCATGTAAAGTCAAAACTCAAAAAGAATTTCATGTGTAGAAACTTCTTTTATCTGAAACTTGTGGGATTTTGAAGAATTTGCGATTATTTCTGTTAATTCTGTCATATTTTTTAAGTGCTTTTTTCATCATTGAAAAGTCCCTATCACAGGGAAGGAACGAGTGACCTCTGACAGGAAAAAACTGAATGATTTTTGAAAATTTCTTAGTATCTGTAATGCCAAGCAGCATCCTGATCAGGGCATGATTTTTATTTTGCCCCCAAGAGTTGTCGCTATATAGATGAATTTCCGTGGTAACGTCTGTAGAGTTTCTGTTAATGTAATCCAGCAGAAAAGAGCAAACTTCATCGGGGGATGCGATACCTTCTTGATACAGGTACATAGTGGCGCGATTTTTCTGTATATCATGAATGCAAAATACGTTCGTGGTTAGTTCATTATAGTAGAAAACTTCACCTACTGCCGTAACTGGCAGCTGAATGTTTTGCATAAAATCAAAACAAAGCGATAATACATGAGGCTGTTGATTTTCATTTTTTCCCTCATGTGTGAGTTTTGTGTAAAATCTTTTGGCTCTTCTCTTATGAATGATATATTCAGCGGTGGCTACTCTCTTGGCAGTGTCATTTAGTTTGTTGTCTTTTATTTTAATTTTATACGTTTCACACTACAAACATCGGCTTGGGGTCTGCCAAACCTGAGCTTAAAATTTTCCACAAAAAATTTGTAGTAAGTGGCATACGAAGATACATAGGGCAACTAGCCTAGGCTCCAATATATCTATATTGTGGATCCCTAGCCATGTGGGCATTACCGGTAATGAAAGTGCTGATAATTACGCTAAAAATGCGCGTCTAACCGGTACAGATTGGTCATCAGTTTATTCCACGGGTTGGCTGCGCAAAAAAATCGCCCGACTGTGCAAATCCCTGGTTCAACTGGAGTGGGATCTTCTGGAGGAACCTAACAAACTCTGGAATGTCAAAAAGACATTCTTCTGTGGTTTCTCCACATCGAGTTATGATGGTCGTAAAAAACCGTAGTAATTAACAGACTCATGTTAGGACATTGTAGGTTTCCTCATCAATTTTTGTTTAAGGGCCAACCACCGCCTCTATGTGATATATGTAGTAATCCTTTAACTGTCAAGCATATCCTCAAGGAATGTAATCAGTTAATTAACCTAAGAGAGGCCTGCAATCTTTCGTCAGACATGTCGGTTATTTTCTCTACAACTGAGCAACCAAAACTTTTTGATTTTCTGGAAAGATCGGGATATATATCTGAAATATAGGTATCTAAAAAACTACATTTTGGTTTAAAGCAAACAATTACTAATTCAATTGGATATATTTTTACGTTTTATTGATTTATTCTATGTTGTCTGTACCATTTACTTTTTATTTGTACAAAATGAGTGTCTGTACTCTTAACATATACAATCTGTCTATAAACATGTTGTTTAGTAAAATGTCAAATATTGTTCCGTACTAAAATAGTAGGTGATACGCCGCTAAATAACCTTTGATGCTGATGCGGCTTAAAAGTTAAATTTCTTCTTCTTCTAAATAATAAACGTTACGACCAGAATAGTGGCTTTCTTTTTTCGGAAATGATTCAATGTGTTCCCTCATGCAGAATCTTGCTTCTTCAGGTAATACGTTGCCACTAAAATTTCGCCTCCTCATGTTTTTTGCAGATTTTTCCCTGGGCTGCTAACTTTTTAATTCTTAGAAGTTTTTTTTTGTAACAGATAAAATTGACGAAAACGCTTTTAAACAAACTTCGCATTTAATATTGCCCGCTTTTAAGGTGTAATATTTATACGACTGAGCCCTGTCTCTAGGTTGTTCCACTCTGTGTCTACGTTTTTGAACACTCTTGATCTCGATTAAGCCTTGAATAAAGACATCTTGTGAATCTTTTGAAGGTAGTTCGTAAAATCGTGTAAACATATCAATCCGCTCTTGTTCTGTTATTTTATTAAAACAGTTTCGTTGTGTGTGAATAAAAATGAATCACAAAAACAATCAGCTGTTTTTAGATTGTATGTTAGCTGCTAGACACCAGAGGCGCTGGGCTCAACAATTCACCGTGTGTTTTATGCAGAAAGGTCATTGACTTACACCTTTTCTGCTTAAAACGTTTAAAATAAATGCTGAAATTTTACACATGGGGTAATGGGTTTAAAGTCCTTTCTGAGTAAAAATGCGAATCTTGGTATATAGAAGCGATTTCAACGGAAAACGGAAAATCGATAAAAAGTGTATATTGCAAATCATATTGCTCTCGCACATTGTAGAATGGCGAAGATTTCTGTCTGGAATACGGTTGAGTGTTTACCCAAGGAAAACGATAAGCTTACCCTTGGTCTTTCCCCAAGGATAAGCTTATCCTTTTCCTGATAAAGTTTTAGAGTGTGGTAAATTATTCATAATTTTTTGTTAACAAAATTATAGCCTTTTGGTGAAAAAAAAATGCAAAGTTGCAGCAAAGGAACATTCGGATTCAGAATATGTTCTATTTACTGTTTTTTTGGTGGATTTTTTAAACAATCTTTTAATAAGATCATTGTTGGGGCCAAACTTTTGTAGAATTGTTTCACTATAATCTTCAGATAATACATTTTTCTTTTTAAGTTCTGTAACTATAGCACGTAAGGTAGCAATCTTTTTCTTTTGAATTCATTTTTTTAAGAGACCTTATTTTCTTAGATTTAATGTTGTCTATTTCGTATAAAGCTAGCAACGTTTTCGAGAAAGTATTTTAAGACGTCTGGCTCTTTGATATATCTTTTACTGTGCTCTCTGGAACAGCATGCGGCCCGTCTGGCTGCCGATACCCGTTGCCTTCACTACTGCGCATCGGAAAAATACTTTTTTATTATTAAATCTGGTGACTCAAAAAAAAATCAAATATATATAACTCACTATCAGATACACTCTCAGAATCGCTATTGCCTAAACTAATTATAAGGGGTTGTTGTGTAATTTCAATTTTTTTCTCCCATGCCTCCTTAATTATTCTATCAGTATGTCTGATATAATTAGCCCACTGATCAGCTGTTACATTATCTAATGCTTCCTTCCAACATTGTTCGGGATTTCTGATTTGTAAAATATGCTGGTCATAATACCGTTTTGTCTGACTCCACATCATTTCAATTGCATTAAATTGACAATGATATGGAGGCAGACGTAGTACTTCATGACCAGCCTCATGGATAATTTTATCTGCAACAAAAGATTTATTGTGCTTGGGTACTTGTGAAATAATACCCCACAATAAATCTGTTGTTGCAGATTCAGGAAATGGTATGTCTTTTTCGATTAACCAGTTTATAAGATCAGGTTTCTTCCAACTTTTAGTGGGCCATTTTAATGACTTCCTGCTGTGATAGGCAGCATTATCTAATATAATTAAAGAAGGCTTTTGTAGAGATGGAAGTAATTGTTCATTTAACCATTTCTCAAAATTTTCTCCATTCATGGAGCCATGGTAATCCCCCTTCTTAGTTTTTGACTTGAAAATCAATTCAGCATTGTTAATAAAGCCATTCTGATTACCAGCATGTAGTACAATATATCTGAAATTAAGATATGGTCAAAAATAAAGTATATAATAATAGCAATATGTATTGCCAACAAAATTTTAAATAACAGAATAAATGTAATGTTCCATTTAAAAACAGAGTTTGATCACTTATTTAGTTATATGTTCATATAAATACTTCTAGCATTGCTATAGTTAATATAAAGCAGTATTAATATACATTACTGCAGAAGGACTAGTATATAAAAAAAGTATTATACCGGGTAGTGCATCGTCGTTGGAAACATAAGAAAAACACACAAGCCAAATTTGAACAATTTTGGACTAGCCGATTTTGAGTGATTTAAGAAATATACTGCATCTATAAAAACTAAATAGGTGACAACCAGTCAAAAACCGACACCCCTTAGATTTGCAAACTATGATTTTTTCATTGTCAAAAGTAATTAATTTTATTTTAATAAAATTTTAATATTCAGTACTAGTAATCATTTATTGGTATACACTATAATAAATTACTCAAAATCGGCTGGTTCAAAATTGTTCAAATTTGGCATGTGTATTTACCATACATACAGTGGTGGCCAAAAAAATAAGAGTGGAATGGTTTTAATTTAATATTTTATTACAAAGAATTGTATAGTAAATTAAGGACGTTCTTGATATATCATAACGGTTATTTATAAATTTGCAAAGAAAAGAACATAAGCTATCTTTGTATTATAGTAAATGCATGTTA